GTATCAATAAATCTTGAAGAAACATATCGTGAACAACCTACAGCTGATATAATTGTTGTATCCTTTTCCTTGAACACAAGTGTACGTCGAGCAATAGAAAAATAAGGATATTGATCGCTTGAAATGCTAGATAATGCTGCTAATAGATCCATATAGTTGGATCTAAGTCCAAGTTTGATTTTTATGATCGGCTCCTCCCCATGACCATCATCTTCATATACATGTATATCAATCAGCTTATCACTTGTTAAATTACGTTGATATTGTAATAAGATTTCTTTAATTTTACTTGATGTTTCTTCGTCTACTTCTTCTGATATGTCTTCTTCGAAGACATTCGCTCCGAAATCATTTTTAATATTGACATCGGCACCGTATTCAAGTAGAAGTTCTACGATTGAAACATGACCACGATATTTCGCTCCATGTAATGGCGTACTCCCTGGTTTAGTTGTCATTTGAATATTAACATTAGCTCCATGTTCTAACAACCATTTTGCAACAGAATATTGTCCAAAACGACATGCATAATATAATAAACTTATGCCAGTAGAATCAGTCATATCTTTTGAATTATCATTAAAATAATAATAAAACCACCAATCTATACCAGTTCGTGCCATTTCAAACATGTCACGTTCACGCATGCTTTTGAAAATATCACTAATACTATTACCATGTTTAATGCCTTCTTCTTCAGCTGTTGTACCCCATCGATTTTTAAGAGTTGAATCACAACCACATTTAAGAAGATAATCGACAATATCTGTATGACCACCGTAAGCAGCAAAATGTAAAGCAGTATTTCCATTGAAATCAACAAGATCCATATTAGCCATACGTTGTTCTACAAGCCAATGTACTAGATCACAATAACCTTTCTTACTAGCGCAATGTAATAGTGTTTGACGCTGAGCAAAATATTCTGTATCTTGATGTTGTGTCAATCCATTTTTCAAAAACCAATCGCGTTCGTTTGCAGCCACTCGAATATATGCAATTTGTTTGAGTTCAGTAAATACTTTTTTTACATCATCATTATATGCTTCATCTTCAGCTGTGTTATCGCAAGAATTTTTTATTCGATAATCAGCTCCACTTTCCAAAAGGCAACGAACAGCGTCAGCATGTCCGTAAAAAGCAGCAACATGTAATGCAGTACTTTTTGTACGTTGTGATAAATCAGGTTCTGCTCCTTGTTCAGTTAAAAACTTTACTGCTTCTACATTACCAGCACGAGCTGCAGTGTAAAGTGTTGTATGACCTGTAATGGGATCTTGAGCATTAAGTTCCGTTAAATTAGCATTTCGTAGTCGTTGTTTTAAATCACGTATTAAATCCGGTTCAGCAGCCAACTGTTGTGAAGTATATTTATGGATTGGTAGTTCAGAAATCCATTCTTTTTTGGAATTATAAAGCGTACGTTTATCGAAGTCAGATAATGTTTCATACGCACGACATATACGACGAAAATTAATGGCTGAAATTTTCTTTTGTAGATGTTCATGAATTTTTTCCCGATAAACTGTTCGTAGTTTAACGTAGTCCATATCTTCAGGGACGCCAAGTATTTTATAAGGTGTTCTATCGAAGGTTTCCATGTAGATTGGTGTTTGTTTATTAACGTTTTAAACTATTTTGAGAATTTGTATATATATATATATGTCTCATAATGCCGTCATTTAGTTTTTTCCTATGATGCATCAAACGTTTGATTCGTCAAATTTCTAAATGACTCATTCGACTTCTGTCAATAAAATAAAATTGCTGCAATATTTGACTTTAAATTTTCTTTTCACGTCTATACACTACTCCCTCTAGCAGAAGAATTGCCTCGTTTTGCGTCTTTTTTGTTTTTAAAGAAAATTATAACACTTTTCAAAATGATAATGCAGTAAAATATATTTCTAATGACTGATCTCAATCTCTGATTGATATATTAATTTATTAAATAATCTTTTCTTGCACTGAGAGGTGTCACATATCCAAGAAATCGGGGATGCTGGAGAAGTGCAGGAAGATGCGGGAGATGCCAAACTATCTATTAACAGACAATTACATTATGGATATGGCTGTGTGTATTCGTGCTTGCTACCTTATCGTCGCTGGAGAGATATGCGTAGAAATGCCGCATCTCCTGGGGAGATGTGCTTGGAGATGTGGCATCTTCAGTGTGGTACAAGGCTAAAAATTAAAAAAAAATTCATTGGGAGATATTGGGAGATGTCGATACGGGAGATGCCGTATCTCTGGGGGAGAAGTGCTTAGAAATACGACATCTCTCCAGGAGATGCGCTATCTATGGAAGATGTGGCATCTCCCGCATCTCTCTACACTTCTCCAGTATCCCCAATTTCCTGGATATGTGACACTGCTGATCTGATCAATAACATTACTTGTTGTATTTATATCTGAGAAAGAATTTATTAAGCAAGCCAATTGGATACTTTTGATAATCGAAGATAATCATTAGATTTAAGAATAGTTATATGATTAAGTAAATTTCTATGATTATATCATGAATGCTAGGAAAACGATTAAATATTGTATAGAATTTCATGTTTTTATTATATGCTCATTATATAAATGTATATTTATTGTGACACTAAATGCTCACATTTTCGATAGTCATATTATATTTATTTCAGACAACTGAAAATTTACATGATTAAAAATTACATGTGAAGCAAAAAAAGTAGAAGAAACTTCATGCTTCAATCTTTTTACACGAATGCTTCACTTACGTATTACCCGTGGTTGTGAAATAATGATCCTACATTGATTTATTTTATTATGGTCATGTTGCACATAAATAAAAAAGACTGCGGTTAAAAATATCTTAGGATTAAAGAATAATCATCTACATATTCTAGACAAAAAAATCTCATAAAACAAAACAAAAAGAAAGTAGTGTACTGAATAGAATTTGCCATCTAATAACACACGATTCTTCTATGGTTGATAAATAAGTCACATTCTTCAGCCAAGACGAAATACTTACAGTGGTAAATAAAGATTTTTTTAAAGTTACGAGAACAAATTGTTTGACTATTACTAATTGTGTTGCCGTCACGCATACACTGAGCTTTAAATGATGATCGATTGATACATTGAAAAGATTTTAAATGACACTGGATACAATGACAAGACTCGACAAGAAACTCAAAGATTAGATCTCTCACACGTTAATTTACAAGAATAGCTAAATTAAATCTCTTTCAATCAATAGATAATTGTAACTTACAACATTTGTGAAAGATCTATTCTTATTATTTAATTTATGTACTTCTACTACCCTATACAGCCAAAATTAGGTCTATCATAAATGATATTGCAACAATGGCAACTAGTCGTCTAGTTCATTAAATAAGAAAAACCGATAAAGTCATCAGTAAAAATCATTTATCTTCATTTTGAAAAGACAAAGCACCAGTTATCTTTTGAAAATAAAAATAAATGCCCATCCCTAGTCGTTTTTCATGCCAAACAACAGCTCACATCTTGATGCTACCATCATCATCATCCCTAGATCCTCATCGAAGTGTATTTGGGTGTGTATGCAGAGAAAATCAACACCCATACCCACGCCCACACTCACACCCCTGTTTGGTGAATGTGTTTTTTTGTGCTTGTTCAGTGAATGCGGAAGTCTCGTCTCTATGTTATTTGTACACGGAAAATGGTAGAAAAAATATGCTGGTGGCTAGGCATTTCGGTATGGTAATTTATAGATTGTGATGAATAAAACAAGCTCGATATATGATTGTTTATTTTTTGCTTGAATATTGATTGGTCGTGGTGCGAGCTTCACATCGATATCTTTTAATGATTTACTCGTTTCACATATCATAATTTATACCATCGATTTGTTCCACACCTCATAATTTGTACAACTTATAGACTACATGACTTAAAATCAATATGGTTGAGACTGTCTCATACTCCACTATATCCTGAACAATTATCATATTACTATATCTCTCTTTTTGTCTCACCACTGTATACATGTTTTTATTCTTTTTCATATTTTCCTCACTTTAATTAATCCGTGCCTAGCCTGACGAAGAAAAAATTTGAAACGCGTTGCTTATCATTACTCTTCTTTATTTCTTATTCAAATAAACTAAATTTATACCTATTTTTCCTCATTCAATATCTTCCTTAACTCATCTCCAGATTTCTTCAATAAAAAAAAACAAAAAAAAAAACTTCTATATATAAATTCTATACTTATATCATTCCAAATATATGTGAAACGATTTCTTCTATTTTCCATAATTCATTAAAACAAAAAATTATATTTTGACAACAATCAATTCGAATCCACAAAGCACAATTTACCACACCCCCGTCAACACTTAAACGGAAAACAAAATTGAAAAAGTATGCCTCACACACACGATAAACTTAAAACATTTTCAGTTCGATTCAAAAATAGAGAAATATATGCTTAATAATATTTGCGAGACCTGTCGTTCTTAGTTACAATAGAAGTAAAAGCGAAAATTGTTTGATATTAGATACGGTTAGTAGTAAGGTGTCAATAGATGGTAACATAATAAGGTAAATTTAATAAAGTAGTACGTATGAATTATACTATGTTATCTTGAATAGAATTGAGAATTCGTCTATTAATCATGTATTTGCTCCGCATGATTATCAACGAATATGTAACAAGATCAAAAGCAATGAAACAAGTAGAAAAGACGAATAAAATCAGCTCAACATGTAAACTAAATATGATATCAATTCTTGTTTGAAACTTATCTTATTATATTTTGTAAGTTTATTCAAATATGAATGTAAAAAAAAAACAAACAATGACCAGAAAAGTGTTTTCATACTCTTTTTTGTTTCGTATAGAAGAGTGGTTTTTGTGATTATAAAATGAAAGAATCACTAAAAAATAAATGAGAGATTAGATACTATCTGAACATAACATCATAATAGATGATAATACATATATAGTAAAAATAAAAGAACAAAAACAACTAGCATAACTAAATATTATTCAGTTTTTCTCTATGATCATTATTTAATAGCCAAGAATTTCTAGCTGCTGTTACACATTGTCGTACTTGATGATTATTGAATTTTTCATCGAATACAATACGAGTTATTGTCTTATAAAATTGATTTGATATTGTTGGTAGATTTTTTATTTGACTTTTTTCATGATTTATTTGTGTATTTTTCAAAAGTAAAATTAATTTACTAAGACCATCATGTCGTTCATAAGCTTTCTTTGATTGAATTAAACGATTTAATAAATTTAATGTATCTGTTGGTATATTACAACGAACGAAATGTATATCCATTAATAATTGATCACATTGAGCATCATTTGAAAAGATCTAATAAAATATTGTATTTTAAGAGGATTTAGAAAGTTTTTGAATATTTACTTTTCCACGATTTTTAGCAATCAATGTTGTCCATTCATCCAGTGATACTTCAGGAAATTTTTGAGAATTTTGAAATATAAATTGAAGAGCTTGAATAAATTTCGGAAGTAAAATTTCTGATGAAAGTTGCTCATCAACAAGATATCCACGTAATTGTCGTATAATAAGTGCATTCATTGATGTATCATCAGATTCCAAATGACGAAACAATTCACAATGTACATTAGAAATATTGATTTTATTATTATTTTTTGGAATAGCAGAAGCTAAAATAATTTTTTTTTAAAATGCTATATACTTCAAATTAAATTTTCAAAATAGTTCAATGATAAAAGAGACAATTTGTACATCAATTAAAGAACAAAAAAAAAAGAATTTGTAGCTTTCCAGAGTTTTCTTTAAAAGATCGCTTCACGTGTTGTTTGATCTATTGACTATTTTACATAATACATTAATCTATGGTGCAAAATGTTTTGATACAAAAATGTAGCTTTTTAGTTCCTAACAAGAACAAATATTAGGTAGATATTCAAGACCAAATCCAACAAACAATTAGAAAATTCTATATCATGTTGACTATTACAGTCATTGATCTAGTTCAAAAGCAAGATGTTAAATACGGCATACCTATTGAGTGACCTCTAGACTTCCTTTTAATTTTCTTCTAAAACAGAGTCAAGAAGAATAAAAAAAAATTTCAATGATATTATATTGATGCATATTGAGCATTTTTTTTAAAATACTTATGAGAAAACAACTGGAGACAATATACATTGTTCGAACAACATTTCCTCTGCAAAGGGTGTTGGGAATTCCTCTAGATAATTCTCTATTTTATATCGAATTCCACAGTTGTAATATTTAGAATCTTCCTGTATGAAACATTGGTTTTTTCCAATAATATGAATAAGTTATTGTCAGAAAGATGTATTTTTTAGATTTCAATTATTGAATATTAATGTGAATTTTATACTAAAATCAGTTTTAAAAGATGGTTCCCAGTAGTGGAACCAAAGATTTCGACCTAGTAGATTTCAGTTCTACTCTTCCTAACCTCATTACTAGATGGCTGTATATCCATCAATATTATATAATTAATAATATTTGTTTCGATTCATTCTTGTTATTGTCTAGAATGAGAACTAATCAATATGTATGTTTCGTATTTCATAACATGTTACATTTCATTTTGTAGCTAAAAAGTAAAAAACATTTGCTGCAATCCAGTTTTAGTATTATTTGAAAGACACGGGAATAGTTTTTAATATAACATTATTTCTAAACTTACATTCTTCATTTTCATCAGATTGATTATCTGAATTCTTTTTTGCATAAGATTCTATTTGTTGTTTAAATATAGTCTGTTGAAACATGGGTGATTGTAGTGCAATATCTTTTAATTGTTCATAATTATCTGATCGATCGAAAAGAATTTCTAATAAACTCATCATTGATCTTTTCCATCCTGCAATAGCATATTTTCCATTTTGTAATTTTAATATAATTTCTATTTGATTGATAGTTTGATCATTATCTTGATTATTCTTAATTAGTTTTAAGAAAATTTTTGATGATGAATGTATTTTCAATTGAAGTAATTCGATAAGAAATTGAAGAAGATGTTTAAATTTTTTATTATTTAATTTTGAATGTTGAAGAATTAAATTTGATATTTGAAATGTTTATTCAATAGATAAAAATTCATTATCAAAGGTGTAAATTAAAAAAGAAATTAATTTGTTAAAATCATCATTTTGTTTTAATTCATTTTGAATGAAATAAATTAAATTAGAAAAATTATTTTCATTTAAATTTGTTTGTAGTAAATTAATTAATACATCAATATTTAATATTAATGTTAAACGTGATGTAATAAGTTTATATTGTTTAGTAAGACATAATGAAAAAATATTTGTTTTCTTTTTTTATCATATTTATTAAGCGTTGCTGAAACAAAATAAAATCTGGTGAATTTGAATAATCAGCATCGATTATAAGAAGAATTATTGTTGTTAAAAGACAAAGATTTATTTCAAATTCAATTGTTATTTTTTTTGAAATTGATTGATTGTGAAATATCTTCTAATAAATTAAGAAATTCTACATGTGCCTTAAAAAATAAAATAATATTTCTTTTTTGCAAATAAAATTTAGATTTACTTGACAATCTTTTAAAAGAATATTATTTAGTAATTGATTGAGAATAGTTCGATTAATTATTAGAAGATTATTTTTTAAGTCTTGACATTTTTCATTAGAAAATTTTTGTCGATTTTTAAATATATTTATAACTGTTGTAGTCAAATAATCATATAGTTTATCATTTTTCTTTAATGGTCTAATTTTAAGTAATAGTAAATAATGATTTAAATCTGATTCTGTTGATAGAGAATGAGTTTTCAATTCATTTAATGATATTGAACGAGAATAAAATGATAAGAAACGTTGTTGCTCAGCATATGGTATTGGACGAACAATTGTTGATTGATGAAGAAATTTATCGAGTAATTCTTTAAATTGTTCAGTTGTAAATGTAATGGCATCCGAAGAAAACATTTCAATACGAGAAATCAAATAAAGTAGAACATGATCATCAATTATTGGAATTAAATCGTCTGACAGTTTAGACTAGAACAAGAATAAAATACAAGAAAATTTTTTTCAACTCTATTGAAGTGCATGAATTACTTTTAGATTCTAATTAGTTACGAATATTCCGAAATGATTGCAATACAATCCCGGTATGCCTCTGAGGAAAATTTATTTTTAGAATTTCGACTTGAAACTTTGTACACAGATAGATCTTTTAATTATTCTTATTCTAAGATACTTTGTAAATGATCTGATACTTCCATCATTAATTAATCTCATGAAGACCTGTTTCTATGCAACGTTTAAAATCGAAATTCAACAATCAGTATGTCGAGGATTTTGCTCATAACCTGAAAGTCTTCATAGTATATTTGCTTCCGGTTGAAAAGTGATTAATCAATTGGGAGTTGTGTTGCGAACTTTTTCATTTTGTCATCTGTAAATTTTCACAAGATCCGACAGATCGACATGAACAAACAATGTTGAACATGTAGAAGAACTAGTTATTTTACTGAGGCTATGTGTGAACAATTTATATCAGTGGTTTCAACATGTAGAACAAAGCAAGATGTATCAAACTCTACTATGAAAATTAACAATCAAGAGATATACTTAAAAATCTGAAGGTTATAAGAGGGATAACATATTGTATAGTCACACTCATGTTGATTAACCTAAAAATGCTTTGTCTACTTGAGTCAAAATCTATAAAGAATAAATAGAAGTGTATAACAGCCTGTCGAATTTCTCTTGATATGCATTTGAATTGAGTCGAAAAGGTTAATGGATTCTTTGGCTTATTCGAGGATGTCTTTTCAACGAATATTTCAAAAATTAATTCGATCAAATGGTTGCCAGAAATGGAATTCTACCTCTGATATTTATAATCAAATCATTTGAGGTTGGACACCAATGAAGTTGATTCAGTTATATACTGGAAAGCGGCAAAATACTACAACATTTTTTGATTCACCTATATTTTGCCTTAAGAAAATGAGCAAGTCTTACATTTTTTCAAAAAAAAATATGTGCAGTAAAAATCTCTACATAACACTGTATCAAGAATGATATAGGTGAAAAACAAAATATCTCGATCATTATGTTGTATTATATATATATATATATCCGTGAATGATATGTTATAAAATGTACCTGATCATTAGTTTGAGTTAAACTATTACTTTCAGAAGAAGAAAATTGTTCTAACTAAATAAAACAAAACAACAAATACATAATAAAATAAATTAAAATAATTAATGAATTAATTTACTGGTTCATTCTTAAATTCTGGTTTTGGTCTATCAAGTATGATTATCATTTGTTCATATGCTAATATTTTGTCGTCAATACTTTGACTTCGTAACTTCTTTTCAACGTGATTTAATTCATCAATAATTATTGGTGCATGTCCTTGATTTAAATAATATTGAAAATAAAATTTTTGTTTGGAATTAAATAATGTCGATTGAATACCAGATTTTAATACACATTCATATTGATCTTGATTTAAATGACGACTACTAGCCATGGTTAAAATAATAAAATACCACATAGCATGTTGAAGAACATTTTTTTGAGATTTTCTTTTTTTAATAAGAGTTTTATTAAAAACTTGATCTAATTCTGAAATCCATTGATCGAAATCATTTGGTATTATATTACCGTTTTTAAATAAAACTATCCGTTCTTTCCATGCCTGTATTGGATTATCACGTTCAAAATTTTTTATAAGAATATTATAATATATATGAAGTTCGTCAAGTTGTTCATTTGAAAAAATATTTTTTTTCGTATCAAATAAAATTGTTTTTGAAAAATATTCCAAATATTTTATATCAATATATATATTTGATTTCAATACATATTTAATTAAATCAAATAATATTGTTGATATTGATGATGCTGAACGAATAATATGTTCTTGAAAATCATCTAATATCAATTGTTGAATTTTTGATTGAGTTTTAATATATTCTGTAATTATATTTAAAGGTATTAATATACGTTGTCGACAAAATATTGAACGATCTTGATTTAATAAATTATATTTTTGTGGTAATAAAATATGTTTTAAATCATATAATGCTAAATATTGATCATTTGTAAATAGAAAATTATTTTGTGCAACATGACAAACAAGTGAATAGAATATTGATTCTTTTTCATATAATATTGTTGAAAGATTTTTTCCATGGAGTTTTTCAAGTTTTCTTATACGTGCAAGAAGTAATTTAAATGTTTTATTTCGTTTTTCATCTGTATAACAACAATCAATTAATTTTGTTGATTGATTACAAATTCGTTGAATTCGACCTTGATCTCCTTTTGAAAGAATTATTTCGATAGAGGATATTGATGAAGAAGATTCTGATCGAATTTGTTTCTTTTTATTAGTTAAATCAGTACGATTATGAGCACGAGATTTAATTTTTGACTTATCTTTTTTTCATAGGACAATGATATTGAATATGACCATATTCACCACAAATGTAGCAATCATCTAAAATAGAGAGATTGTTCATTTTAAAGAATATGAAAAATATTTTCATGATTTACAAAGTCGAATATCAGCACCATATTTATTATTGAATGGAGCTGCACATCGTCCATTATTTGTACTATTATCAGGTTCATCGCTAAGATTATTTGTACTACTGTTATTTGATGATTTTCGATTATTGTTTCCACGCGCTGAAGCTTCATGTACTGTACTTTGCTCAGAATGTTGATGATCTAATTAGTTATAAATAGATGAAGTCATTCACTTTATATATTAAATTATTCTAGATAATCTGAAAAATTTAATGCAAGCAACCTTTCTTTAGAAGAATTAATAGTAAAATACTACTGTTAGTCCTTCTAGAGAATTTTTCAAATATTTGAAATTTAAGTAGAAATTTTTCCAGAGACGCGAATCACAACGTAAAATTCATTCTGAAATTTTCGGATTTTTTCTTGTATGATTAACGAAATATTTACTAATTATTTTTTAACTAATTAGTTGATATTCAGTAGATAGAAAAAATATGTTTTACGTATGTCTATTCTAAAAGAATTTATTAAGAAAAATCACTGTCGATAAAAATCATCGTTAAATGACAAGGTGAATATATTCTATATTGTCACAAATAGCTCATATCTGTCGTATTGAAGTTGTTTTAATTAAATAAAGATTGTTGTTTCTTGTTTTTATTTTTCATTATATATTGTCTCGTTCTGAATAGCAAGGGTTTTGATTGTTAGAAATATTAGCGCAGGAATCTTCATATCGTAATATGAAGCAAAATTACACATCCGTAATCAGTGCTAGCAGTTTGACTATCTACAAAGTTTGTATTATAAATGTATCAATCGATTTTAAGATTGATAGTAAAATAAATAAGTCAAATGCAGAGCACTCTATTTCTGTTTCGATAATTTGACAATATCTGGAAAATTTCTACTTGAAACTAATCAGAAAAAAAAATATAATGCAATGATGGAACCCATTCCACGGACAATAGCCGTTTGAAATCATATTCTACTCATAGGTAGGAATCGTAGTTAAAGACCTGCAAGTAAATCTGAACTCCAATTCCAACTCCGGCATAATTATAACAAATGCAAAATCTTTCTTTAAGTTTTTTTTTTTATAAAAAAATATCTTGGTTGACATTAAAATTCGAACACTTCGAATTGGAAATTTTCTAACTTTATTCCAAACTTTCTATTGAATGTATTATTGATTTGTTTTTTTTTATAGAAAAATATGTTCGTTGCTCGCTTAATTATTAATCTTAAGTATTATTCGTATGATATCGTCAAAAGTCGCAATTCTTGTTAATTTAATTCAATCAAAACAATTTGGAGATAATTGACTTATCTGGTATTTCAAACAGTAAAAAGAAGAAAAAAGCTTAGTATTTACCGTTTCGTTTATCATGTAAATGTACAGTAGAAGCATTACATTGATTCTATATTGACTCTATGCAATTCAAGGTATTCAAAGTATAAAAATTCATTCTATTTCATACTTGTTAATGATCGACTTTTATCTCTTGGTGATACTAAACTCAAATCATGGTGAGATGAATCATCATGATAAGTGTGCTTTTTTTTTGTTGATTACTTGCACTTTGTTTTGATTAATTATTAGTATTTTTTGTAACATTTTTTATCTTTTCATTGTCTTCACTTTCAGTTAGATCTTCATATAAATCATCATCATCATCATAACTATCTGGTTTTTCAAATGTAGGTTCTTCAATATTTTTTAACCAACTATCAATGATTTGATTTTGTGACATTGATAAAACACATGTATTTGATACTAATTGAAGTAAAAATCGTAATTGATCATCATGAAAATATTGATTAAATGATGTCAAAATTATTTGAGATATACATTCGAAAAGTAAATCATGGTGTCCAGGCAATTGTTTATGCGTTTGAAGAATACTAATTAAAGTATCATAAGCAGAAATAACGGGTTTTTATCATCTGATGATGATAATAATAACTTATTATTGAGTAATTTTTGAAGACGAACTGCAACTGTATCTTTTGTCATAATTTTGATTTCAATATAGTTTTTTCAAATGTTGTTTTGAAACACACTTCAATATGTATAACAATTCAACAGAAAACAAAATGTAAATAAAATTTCGTAATTCAGATTTTTATTTATTATTACAAACGAAAATCCAATAAATAAAAAGATGAAATACAAAGTCATTCTTTTATTTCAGCTATTTTAAAGATGTCGCAATATCCTAAATCAGTTCGAACAAGAAAGAATAACGAAATATTTTTTGTTATATGTGAAACCAACTAATACTTTCTAAACAATAACATGTATTTCATCAAAGATCATTAGTCATACTGAAAAGAATCTGCTGTCTATTACACTTAGTCGATTGACTTAAGAATCGAATATCATTGTTTACTTCTAATAAATTATCGATTTTTATTTCAAGCCTGCAGTTAAGTCTAATATAATTATGAGAAATTTTTGAAGTTGAGGAAACACATCTTTCGATTTCAACAACTGGTTGTAATATTTCTTCTTAACTGACTTTTACGATAGTCACTAAATTCAAGCAAAAATAATACTGCAATATTCATACTGTATTTTGACCTTTATAGCCACAGAAGTAACCTATGAAATCAAAACCGTACAAATCTTTGATTTATAAATATTGTAACAGGCGGCCCAGAATAAATGGCACACTTTGTATTTCGTGAATATCTTGCTTATTTTTGTTTGTGGAGAGCTGATAGATTAAGATAAAAAGATAGCCCGTTGAATTCTCTACAAGTGCGGTATGAATCTTTATTCTGTACAAAGCAAAGCAAAAATATAAAAGTAAAAATACTCAACACATTCAAGAGGGCGAACTTTCTAAGCCATCTTTTAAATAATATTTACAGCCTTTTTTAAGAACATTGAAAACGAATAAAACGGCAATGAAGATGTTTTTGAGCATTTTGAAGCATGCTCTGTTTCTTCATGTAGCTCACAGCTCTTTACAATTAACGTATATGTCGAAAAGGCAGACTTTTCAAAACTCTATTCAAAATCTTATTCATAATGACTTAAATCTAATCTTTTTTGACAGTTGAATTAAAGAAAAGAATTTCGGCTCAATTTTTGCCGCTGAATTTGGTACAGTGGTCCTTTTTCATCAGAGCAAAGAAAACCCGAACTCCAAAGATGCTGTTTTGGTGTAGGCATGGGTCTTTTTCTAGCAGCTTCAAAATCGAAGAATGAAACAGCTAATTTCTCTTCAATCTGAAAAAGAAGATTATTGACGTATGCCGTACGAATGAGCATGATAATTGTCAAATTGAGATCGATCGAAAGAGATTCTCAAGGGCTAAAAAATACCTATATTATGGGGTGTGGGTGTCGGTGTGGGTGTTAATGAATAGTATATCCAAATCCGCACCCACACCCATATATGACGAATGTAAGCATATTCTGAACTAGTCCAAATAGAGTTGAAAGACATTTCTCATAAAGACAATCAATCGTAACGAATAGGCTTGACATTTCACATTTGACATGAGAGGTAATGTGCATATCCGACTAGTCATGTCGGACGTCTTCACTTATTTTTCGTTTACTTGGGATATTATATATATATATATATTCATAACTGCTAGCAAAACGAAATCACTATTTTATTTTGATAAAATAATGTCTTCACTGTGTACTATCGACACATGCAAACGTAAATCACGAGCATTATGCCATTGTTGCAGCAAGAATCTTTGTCTTGATCATTTGAAAGAACATGATGATTTAATTCATTCTCAACTAAATCCTCTTGTTGACGAAATTAATATTCTGCATAACCAGATATCGGCATTAAATATTGATGAAATTATTGATAAATGTCGTCAAAAATTGGATAAATGGCGTCATGATTGTCATACTATAATCGATCGTTTATATGAAGAAAAATGTCAAGAACTTCAACAATGTTGTATTCAACAAGCTGGTCAAAAACGAAAAAAAATTTATCGATTGAAATTAAAAACAAACAAACTTATTCAAGAACAAGAAGCTACGCATGACGATATTTTTTCATTGAAAGCAACTATTAATGATATCAAACGTGATGTTAACCAATTTGAAGAGAATGGCATTTTAGTTGATGTTTATCCTTTAATTATTAATCAAAATTTAGTTTATATTGAAGAATCGACATCGAATGAACTTGATATATCAACTCTTTCATCTCCTTATCGATCAATCGATTGTTCCAATAATGAATGGACTCCACTGGCTAGCAACAATCAATATCTATTATTAGATCAATATCCAAATTTATGCTTATTTAATAAAGAATTGACTCTTTTAAAACAAACTCCATGGGAATATGATCGCATTTCTGATATGTGTTGGTCATCGACTATAAATAGTTTTATTATCATAACAAGTAAAAATGAAGTTGTTCTAATTGACGAAAACCTAACATCAATTAAATGCATTCGAACAATCCAGCAGAAACGACGGCTGTCCTGTACATGCTCAGATGCATCTCTATTTCTAGCGACGAATGATTACGGTTCTGATATTTTTCAATTCAATCTTTTATCATCGTTTCATTTTATCAAACAATGGAAATCTCCTCAAACTTGTAACAACAACGAACTTCTCCATAGTATTGCTTATAACAATGGAATACTTGCTTTAATAATATCACGGAAATACAATACACAAAAGCTCATAGAACTTCGATCTTCATCAACACTCAAAAAACTCTGGTCAGTTCCAATTGATACAAATCATAGTATTGGGCAACGGCTATATCGTGTTTGTTCACTCAAATATGACGAATGGCTTGTAATCGCTCATAATCCTTCACGTCTTTTACATGTTACTAAAGATGGAAAAGTAAAGACAAAGCGTTCATACGAACCACCAGCTGATAATGCTGTTTTATTTGGTTCAAACATATTAGCTATCAGAACTGCAAATTGTCTCAATTATTATAGAGTATAATAATAAAACTGTATTATTGTAAATTAAAGTAGATAGATTTATATTATTTATTTATGATTAATAAATATCTTGTCAAGTCTTTGTATGAAACACAATCTTTTGTCTTATAGATCTTTTGAAAAAAATAAATTATCTATTTTTTCTATTAACTCTTCATGAATTTCTCATAGAATAACAATCAAAAATAAAAATAACGTTTTCATTGAGAGTGTGGATGTCGGTACTCGTGTATTTCATTTTTTACAAAAATATTAATTGTATCATCTTTTGATAAATCATCTATATCAAATATACTAAATGGTAAAATATAACAAATATATATAGCACTATAAAGATCAATTAATCGATTAATAGAACGAGGTTCAGATTGTTTAACAGCACGTTTTAATAAACTTTCTACTGATCATAAATATTTTTTTTACAGGTATATCAAGTGATGTAAAACAATCTCTTCATGCTTTAATTTGTTTGTGGATGTGATTGTACATTAGGATATGTTTGACATGCACGTGCACCTTCTTTTCAATATGTTTGAAGTATTTTTTTAATTTTTAATATAACATTTTCATTATATTTTATATCTTTTGTAACAATAATAGCTACACGTAAATCAGGAATAGCTTTAAATACACGATCTTCAATTATAAATTTCATTTGACCAGAAGGTAATTTATTATAAAGTTCTTGTTGTTGTTGCATAATTTCTATAAATAAATTATTATTTTGTTTTCCATCTTGTTTCATATTACCATAATTTGTATTCATTTGTGTAGGAATAATTGGAATATCACGAATTCGTTTCATAGCTGGAAATAATAATACTTCCTAAATAAATAAATAAATAAATTCAATTTTGTTTTTCTTTTTGAAATTATTAAGAAAATAAAATTCTCATACTACATATGAAAAAGAAAAACAACATCATTTATAAATAATTATTATGTAATATATTTGAACTAGTTAAGAAATCTGAAGTTTATTTCAAATCAACGATATTATATACAGAGAGAGAAAGAGAATTCGAAGATAAAAGATATTATTAATAGTTTAATGGATTCTGTGAAATCTATATCTATTTCTCAAAATCATAAATTTATAAAGAATAGTGTAGAAAGCAAAATCATTTTGAAAATTATACACTGAAACTAAAAATTTGAATAACAAAAAAATTTTCATATTGTACAATAAGTATTATCACACTTGTGTTTGATAAAATAACGATCAAATATTCGAAGGTTAATGATCATATAAAAATAATACAAAATAAAATTTTGAATAGGTTAAGAGTTATTCTCTTTACTATTAATCAACATTATTTCGTTTCTCTATATATCAATAATAAATACTTGATATTTTTGTAACTATTGATCATTCTAAATGTCTAATTACTGATTTTAATTTCTTTTTATTTTTTGTTGTTATTCTTAAAATATATAATTTCTTATATCATTTGAAATCTTATCAAGAGAAGATTGGAATGTATATATTATTTTAATACTTATAGTTAATCCAAAGAGAGATATATGTAGTTTTCTTTTTTAATATTAAGTTTCATCATCCTTTGAACAATTTTATTTACTATAAAAATGACTATAAATAGGTTAAAAATAAAGTTTTAACGAATAATGTTAACATTTCATAATAAATATTAAATGTTCTCATGAGAAAAAGTATTTTTAACTAGAAAATCAAAAATCTTCATAAACAAAAGAGTTCATTCTGGTTTTAGTAACTATACATCAATGTCAGATATGATTGATGAGTTTGAAGATCTCAAATCAGAGGACAAGTTTAAGAAAAAGAAAAAAAAAAAGCTCAAATCTTTTTCGAGTTTGATTTTTTCAAACTATTTGTTATTAATGATGTATTTTCAATAAAATTTTAATAATTCTGAAAAATAGATTTTCAAATAACATTTTCTTTGTTATTCTTAAGAGAATTATTTCAAATATTAAATCATTTTTGAATTCAGATTCTATGTATAAGGTAGATCTTAATGAGATATGAAACACTCGAAAAGATCAAGTGTTCTTAGACATTGTCTCCATAGTTTTAGTTACTTCTTGTAAATTTTAAATTATGACACCATCTGTACTAACAAATTGAATTTTATTTTAAAAGAATATTTCCTTCACAAGATATTGTATTTTTATAAACTTTGAACTTCTCACAACTTTCTCGGAATATGAATGTTTTTTGTGAATGAAATTTTCCAGATATTCTAGTCATAAGTAGATCTATCTGTGTGAACCAAAATTTTGGTCGAAATATCATTATTCAATTTATTGGTACATGCAATGTCATCGTCTATAGAGATATTGTAATATTCTAGAGAATATCACTTAACTAGATAACTTTGTTTTATGATTAGATTTGCATTACAATTAAATCATATTCTAAACTATATTTTGAATAATTAATACTTTTTTCTTATCATTTCAGCCAAAAAAATTATAGTGAAGAAATAAAACTTCTAATATAAATCTTAATCACTATTTCATTAATATCTATATGAATAATAAAAATTGACAATATGTATATAACTTACTTTAATATTATTACTATTTGTTAAAATCATTGTTAAACGATCAATTCATACTCCCCAACCTCCAATTGGAGGTAAACCATATTCAAGTGTTTTACAATAATTTTCATCAATTATTTGAGCTTCTTCATCACCAACTAATTTATTCTTTTAAAAAAATAAAAATAAAAATAAAATTTACTTTTGCTTGTAATTCAAACATTTCACGTTGTACAATTGGATCATTCAATTTAGTATATGCATTGCATAATTCTTTATAACAAACAAATAATTCAAAACGTTCTGTTAAACCAGATATAGAACGATGACTAAAGTAAAAGAAAGCAAAAAAAAAGAAAAGATAATAAAATATCAATGAAA